CTGCCAAAGACGGGCATTAAACTGTGCAGGCATTCACGGCGTTTCGTATTTGTGCCCCAATCCCTCTCCCTTCCCCTCCCCGGGTTTTCTCGCCCTGAACCCTGACGCGAGCAGAGGGGAGGCTCATTTTTGGGGTGGGGGGTGCAAAGACTTTTCTTTTTTGCTTCTCAGTTCCCCGACACAGCGACCTGCAATGCATGGGGGATAGGCACAGCGTAGACCTGAACTGCATTTTGTTTGACTTTATTTAACTATTTATTTTATTTAAGGCGTTACAGCAGCTCCGTGCTCGGGGAATGGTACTTCGCCACCAAGTTTTGCAGTTAGCTGTTGCATATTTTCCTCTGGGCTTATGTAAAAAGTGCATTTCCTTTTCATTAAAAGGGGGGGGGAAACCCCAAAACCCTGTAGCAAGAGCTGGGCGGGTGGCACCCCTGTGCCCCGGGGTGGGGGGGGACACGACTGGGGACAGCCCCGGGGGTGGCAGGCGGCTTTGGGGAGCCTCTGCCCAGCTGGGTGACGTCCCCCTGCCAGCCTCAAATCCAAGGGTGGGATTTTCCCCCTCTCTCCTCATTTACAGAAGAAAGGGAGCTTTCCTTTGACCCTTTGGGGCCTTCAAGGACAGGACTTTTCAGCTCTTTTCTTTTGAGGGGCTTTGGCTGGGTGGGGGTGAAAGCCCTCGGCCGCTTTGTCTCCCACCCCCGGAGGGTCCTGCTGGCTTTGTCCCCGCCCCAGCTGCTGCCCAGCGCACCTTCCTGCGGGAAGCTTAGGACTTCGGGGATTTTGGGGGGCGTTTTTTGGGGGGATTGAAGTCTCCGAGTCTCTTTGTATATTGGCTAAGGAAAAGACAATCAATGCATTATCTAATTATTTTGGATTACTCCCGGCAGAGCTCTGATGCCAGCATCTTATTCTAGGTTGATGCTTTTTTCCTTTGTTGTTGTCACCTCGCCCCGACCTTTCAGGCCTCAGAGCAGGAAAATAGTTTAGAAAAGAGCAAACCTGCTTTTTTTCCCCCAAAGCACGCGAGCGCAGGAACTGAGAATTCTCAAACTCTCATGGAAGTTGTATCAAATAACAGCTGCATTTTTTATGAACGTCTTGTGACAAAGGCTATGACTTTACAAAAATCATGCAGACATGTACAAATTGTCCTGGTATATCCAAGAGCTGGAAAAAGAGGCTGCCATTAGAAAACAAAATGATGTTTTGCTTGAGCAGTCACATATTTTAAATGATGGGGCGGGGGGTTGGCTGGTTTTAATCCGGTTCTGTCCAAGTTTTCCCGTTTGGTAGGAGGTGTCCATCTCATCATCTGTCACCTGTAGGACCTGGCAGCCCAAAGGGGACTGGATTTTTTTTGGGTGGCGATGGTGCTGGGGGCTCCTCCTGCGCCCTGGGGCACAGCTCAGCTTGGGAGACGAGATCGCAAAATACAGTTTGCATCTGTAATTGCTAAGGTCATTTCTCCCGCAGCACAGTTCTTCCCGTGTCAAATGGACTGAAGCCATTTCAAACCATTCAAAAGTAGCTTGCTGCTCGATTTAAAAACAAAACAAAAGCATATTTAGTAGAGGAGATTTTTAAGTTAGACATTATCAAGTGTTATTGCGTTCACTATCTAGTCACAGTAATATTTTGTTGCTGTTGTTTTTAGGGGATGCGAGGTCTCGTGGTCAGCAGGTTCTCCTTGGCTTTCAAGACTGCCTTCTTTTATTTCTTGGATTTTGGGGGGGGGTTAGGGTTGTTGGTGGCTTTGGGCTGGTTTTTCTTTCTATATTCTGGTCATAAAAAGGCAGGGGCAGAGGGGGGAGGAAGAAACAAAAATCCAGCAGTCCTGGCCTACAGTTTATTGAAGTGGTTTGGACTTTTGCAGCTCACTGGTGCGGCTTTGCTCACGTTCCTCGGTGCTGTTTCTAGACCAAACACAGTTACTCTTTTCACCATTTCCCTGTGAGCACGTTTCAGGGCCTTTTTTCTCCAGGAAGACTGGAGGTTTAGACCGTCACTGAGTGCTACCGGCAAGCCTGCCCGCTCGCTCGGCTGCTTTGTGACCAGCAGCTACAAAATCTGCTGGAATCAGAGAAAAGGCCACCGGGAGCTGGAGTGATGTGAGTTTGGGGGTGGGATCCCTTTCGGGGTGGCCAGGCCAGGCTGCAGCCCTGTGGAAAGCTTACCCTGGGAGGGATCAGTTGTGTGGAGCATCTTGGTTCAAACTCTGATGTCTCATGGGAGGTTTTACATGAAATTGGCAAATAATTTGCTAGGCTGGGGCACTCTGGTGCTTCTCACCGGCTTAAATGTATCCTGAACTGGCACAATTTTGGTGTTTTTAGAGAGAGACATGGGTTCCTCCTGGCATGCCTGGCTTGTTTATAGAGCAGATTCTAAGCAATATTAATAATTGATATCTACTTTAAGTTGGTTTGTTCTGTGCTACCAAGCTGTCCTTGGCTGGTCCCACTCATCCTGCCCTGTTGGGTTTCTCCGAGGCAGGGGGTTGTGAGCGGGGCCAAGGAGGTCCCACCCGGTGCCTGCCTGGTCCCTTCAGCTCTAAGGGAGCTCTTGCTGGAAGAAAAGAGGAGGATATCCTTCTCCACCCGTGGTCTGCCATCACCATGGACGAGGCTTCCTTCAGGTGCCTGAGTGGCGAAGTTTTGTGTCTGTAAAGCATGTTATTTTTCAGTAATTCTCACAGATCGAGAGTGCATCTGCTTTTGCCAGAGCAGACTCCTTTCCTTCTCCAACAGAGGTTGGCGGTGTCGTGGTTGGAAGAGGTGTTGGGCTCTTGGGCTTGGCTGTCGTGGTGTCTTCTCTGACCTCCTCGCAGGATGTCACCTTGGTCCCCTCTCGGTGCCTTAGTCTTCTCATCACCACCAGGCAGAGATCTCATTGACCTGACACCGGGTTTGGATGAACCCGTTGAGCGCTCCCGACACATGGAGGTCCTGGAGGTCCTCGGCTGGGAGCGTCACGGCTCTGCCGAGCACTGGGAGGCTGCAGGTCCTGGGGGATGCGGAGCAGATGTGTTAGTGCCGTTTGCTGGAAGAGCAGGGGAAGGCAGCCAGCCCCCGGGCACTTGGGAGTGGCAGCAGTTTGCTGCTGTGGAGTTGAACTTAATGCACCAAGCATCTATTTGGACGGTGGAAGTGGAGGTAGCGCGCGATCGGCGGGGAGGGGTTGCGCCGGAGCATCACCGGCCCTGTCTGCACTCCCTACAGTTATCCTCCTCTAAGGATGGCTTCACCTCTAATCTCTTAAATTTTAACTGTGTGTGACCATCCGAGCAGAGCCATCGCAACAAATCCGAGAGCTATAGCAGAAATAAAAGAGCTCTGGGCAGGAGAGAAGTAAGCAAAGTGAGGCCCCACCCTCTTTCCCAGAAAAAAGCACCAAACATGCTCAATAAATGCGAAGGTAATTTAAAATCTGAATCCAGGAGACAATGTGACTAGGATTTCATTACTTAAGCAAATGGATTTGCTTTTAGTGGATTCAGCCACAGACTGAAAGAAGCTTTCCCCAAGGGGTAAACATTTTTCCTGCATTTGAAAGGCTTT